AGAGATCACTGATCATTTATTATCGTATCGTAATCGTCCTCGTTTAGCGTTACATAATTAGCCTAACACCGTCTTACCAATATGAATTACTATTCGTCAATTTTTCTTTAACACTAAAAATATCTACTACTGTTTTCTATTATAACTATTTTTCTTCCCGTGCTATTGCACTATTTTCTCGCGATAATTGGAGGATAATCGTCGAGAATACAAGGAGACTTATAATTATTAAGCAATCTCTTTTTGAATAACAATTTCCTCTTTGATTAAAGAAGGAAAACTTACAATTGTGAATGATTTGCGGAACTAAACTGTTCGCAAATTGTTCACTGTCTTATATTCACATCAATCGTTTACAATAAACTTGTTATATTCACAATGATCGATATTATAGAGATCATTTATTATCGTATCATAGTCCTCGCTTAGGGAATATGTAATTAACCTAACATCGTCTCACAATATGAATTACTATTCGTAAACGTATTTTTATAAATCTCACATGTCGTAGGATCTCGTATTATCTGTCAAGTCCCGATACAATCGTAATATTAAAGAATTTTAGGACTTGCGATCCTGCAGAAATGACATCAAAAGTACGTATAGCTAAATGTCATCTCTGGAAGATTAGAAATAAAATTATGAATTACCTTTAAGGCGATTTAATATGAAATACGCATGTATATATACACACATATATATTGTATTATGGCGCGATGGATGAGATCGATTTTATGCTTGCATGAAGTGAAATGGTATTTTTATGCGATATTTTCATTATTCGATGACGTAGTACACAGCAACACGAGAAATATTCTAAAGAATTGAAAATGTGATATGATTACGCTAATCTATGAATATTGCTGGTGCGTTATTACTCGAACTATGGTGCAATCAGTGCATTTGAAACGAAAAATGAATATACTGCTGCTCACGACACCACACGGTCACCGTAACTAAACGTGCCACTGTATAACGCTTCTATAAGTTATGGCCAAGTAACGAAATGCCCGATGCTGTATCGCTGTTTAACAAGCTTAACATTGCAATTGTTCAAACGATCATTTTGCGACAGTTGTGGACTGAACTTACAGCTTCGTTTATATTTAAGCGAGATATCGAATGATATATTGCAAACGAGAAAATTTACTTTAAATTAATTTAATATAATTGAGTTACTAAAACATGCGTTACTAAAATATTTACATATCAATATTAGCAAACGCTACTGATCGAATAATATATTTCCACTTTTAGTCAAGTTTATCATAATTGTCATGTTTTCTTTACACAACACTTGATGTTCAAATAGCCGACATTCAAATAGTGGTATAGTATCCGATAAGTCTAAAATTTTTTTTTTCAAGAATTTGTAATGTTCCGAAAGATTTTCAAAAATCAGAAAACCATTCAAAAAAAAAAGGAAGAAACTTATTCGTTACATATAAAAATTTACTAAGAAAAGCGATCAGTCGAACAAGATACGGACGCAAAATTTTCCTTTCTATAGACAATCCCGAAGATCACAGTTACAAGGATTTCTCCGAACAAGCGAACCCTAACTCTATCCATTCCGCCGACTGCAATCGGCGTCAGTGATTTGACTACTTGCATAATCACGCGTTGCTGTTTCTAATTCCTACTTTATCTAATGCCTAGACTCGCACCCCTGAGATATTCTTCAACCGCGTCTACGCATCTAGCGCTGATCGATTGATCTCCGCGCAGTGACGTGATTATGATTGTTTGATTGCTCTTCTTCGTACCGTGGCGTCAGCTCTGAAAATGGAATTCGAGATTTGTTTCGTGTGCGTCAAACCATTAAACTTTTCATGCAAATCTTTGCGTTCTTGTTTGACCCTTAATTGCGCAATTTTTTTTCCTAATCACGAGACTCGCTAGCACGAAATAATTTTTCTAGTGCAAGAAAAATGATAAAAAAGAGACTACGAATTATATTTAGATATTTTTAAAGATGCAATTATGTTTACAGAAATATAACGATGTCAAAAACTGTTTGAAAGAAGAACATTAGGAGCTAAGACATCTGTTTCACTTGCATAAGATCCACTATTGAAAATATTCATTTTGCATGGAATCTATCATTGGGTGCTTTTTATTTAGAGGCCGATTCTGTATCTCTTAACGACAGTAATTGATGTCATTGCGCAGTTTTTTTATTCTACATAATATCTGAGCAATGACATCAACGACTGTCGTTAAGAGTTACAGAATCGGCCCCTTAATGACGCAAGTTGATATAAGCATCATTTTATCTTTTTTGATATTCCACAAGTAAAAGGCAAAACGATTTGTTTGTGTCAACTTGTGTCCAATGGAAAGCGACTTTTTATTATGCAGAATTGAAGATCTTAGAGTCGCGATTATTCCGACGGAAATTATGATATATACAAAAACTTACTTTTGTACATAACTTATTCTTTTATCTTGATACTGCGTTCATATAACGAACGAAAGCTTGGACGGTGCGCACATTTCTCCGCCGCGGTAATCGTCAGTGAAGAAACAGCGTGTCTCAGCGAATATACATTGTAATGAGATCGAGCTTTATAAAAAGTATAAACGATCAAAAGTATCACATGGTAAAGTGCAATGTCTGCTCAAAATACCTACTTCATTTCGTTCATCGCAGAAATTTGCCAGCGTCGTCACAATTTATGTCTTCCGAAAATTATTTTTATTTACTACATTTTTCAATCGTCTCCTGATATCGCGAAAAACGTGATACGAAGGACACTTCAGTGTCAAGGCACATGAAAATCAAACTGTCAGTTATTTATTACTTATGCAGTCAGAAAACCGCGAAAAAGACACGACGAAATCGTATAATGACAGATTTCTGTTACATAGAGATAGAGATTTCTAAATGAAGCGCTGAAAATATTAAAAAGAATTGACGGCGCTATTGAAATTGGGTCTTGGCTTCCCAAAAATTAGACAAAAAATCCATCTAATTTCAAAAAATTAAAAGATTTACTTAGAGATCTTAAACATTTTAGTTTTCTGTATTGCGAATAGATCATGTATATATTCTACGATCGCCGTTATTTCACATTAATCGCGCATATTTACTTTCTTATTGTGACATAATAATTTTAAATTAATTTTACATATCATTTTATTTGCTCGAGTTATATCGTCAGCGCTTCAAATAAAATTATACTTTCAAATAAATCGCTCTTCTCGTCAGTCATTTAAATCTTCCTTTTTCTCTCTATCAACTGATTATACAATATATTAATTGATATTTCTCAAATGCTTTATCACATTTGGTAACTGCTTTAATCAGCAGAATTTAAATTCGCAATAATGATTGCGTAATATTGATCCGTCCTGTTCTTCAGAGCTGAAACCACGGTCGTTTGTTTCCTGATCTCTTCTTTAGTCTTATTTTATTAAGTTAAATCTGCGATCATTCGATGAAAATTGTCTCTCCTTCATACTATGTTCCACGTAGTTTTAGCTACGTTAAACATATCTCGCTGGTACTACAATACATTCAGCCTGTTAGCACATATGTATATATTTGCAGATCTATGTATCGCGGGATTATTCCATCCCGCGTTGTACGATTCGCATGCCGGATGTTCGATTGATTTGACCATTCATTTTTGTTCCTCGCGCCAAAATCTATATGATTTCTTAATGCTAAAACCCAGCGACCAAATTTTCATGAATTTTCCACCAACGGCGTGGTCGCCCTGTGCAGCTTTAACGACACAATCCTTTGACGTGCGAAAATTTAAGAAAAGAAAATGTCGCCACTCTCGGGATGCGCGACAAATTTTCATCGTCAGGAAATCTATACGCGAAATATTCTCGTTGGAAAATTTATTAACGTGCCGCGAATTGATTCATTGATATTCGAATTGAGATTTCACGGATCTGAATTTGATCTGGAAAAAATTTGACGTTTCGCGATAACGAAAACCTTCGCCCATCCCAGGATATCTTAAGAATTACTTGTGCGCTTAATAATAGAGACAACTACACATACATTCTTTCAACTTGTAATCCACGATGAAACCAAACGACCGCTTGCAGTCTCGGTTAGCCAAAATGTTCAGAATAATGCCCGAATCTCCTCTTTTTTTGTCGTCTTCGATTATCTCGAATGACATAGGCGTACGAATATTTTTACAAACACTGCGAGATCGCCCAAAAGATGCCCATTGCCTGCCTTAATTTCTATCTCGCAATGCCTTTTCCCTTAATGACAATATGACACACGACGATCCGAACGTTAAGCCTAAAAGTGGGTGCTCGAAGTAAAACCGGTTGAGGAGATGCCAGGGGCCTACGGAGCGATTCCTGCTTTTATAGTGAATAAGCACGCTTATTGTTGATGTAAATAGTTTTGCTAGATATCGCGGTAGTAATTCGACTGACATTAAACTGATATTAAATGAGGTGTCATTTTCTTCGATTGAACTTGACTATCTTTAAATTCGTCAGTGTATATGGATTATATAGAATCTACTTTATACTTTCTAATCGTCATCTAGACATGATCACATGATCATGATTTTTTCGCTATACAGAACCTATCTCACTACAGCGCATTAGCTTATTAAATTGTTGAAAGAGAAAATCTTTATATATCTTTTAGTTTTATTCCCTAAAACACGTAATAATCATTATCAGCTTGTTCTTCGCTTGGTTTGATTGGCGTTTATTAATTAAAGCACTAAAAGTGCAAGTAAATCAAATTCAAGTCATCATCAAAAGTTCAAGAAAATTTAAAGCAAATAACCAGAAAATTGCTTTTTTGGTACCTTAAACCATGTGATTCGATCTATTTGTACTTTTAGCGCTTTAATTAATAGGCGAAATGCTTTTATTTTCCGATAACTTTCGATTAAATTTAAATGATTAGTGCACTTCGCGTGGCATGCAGTTTCGCGAATTTCCTACGACAATCTGCAAATATATAGATATTTACATGCTCCGCGTCAACTTTCGCATGATCGGCGCGTCGAGTGTGATGCCGTTTCATTCATGGAACATGCTTAGGGATCGCCGGAGAATTTCATGAGTTCGTGTTATTGTTGCCGACCTATTATCATTAGCTACCTCATCGCGAGAGTGCCCGACGTCTACACTCTCGCTACGTCGGCCATATCTTGTGGTCTACATGTCGCCAAATATACCGGCAAAAGTCTTTCGCAGATTCTTCATTGTGTCTTCGGTGTCTTCACTCGGAGCCTGCGACTGACTACCTTGTCGATGAAACGGCACTCTAGAAGGAAGTGGTGGTTCTTCAGTACGTCGGCCGACGGAAGGCGCGCTGCTTACCGTGCTTGATTGAGAAGCTACGAGAAAGCAGAGTATGTTATATCAAACAATGACTACGTTAAGCAGAAAAGCAACTTTGCTACTGTTGTAAGATTTTATAGTATGATTAGTTTATACATTTTAATCTAGTGACGAACTGAAGGCAAAGATCATATTAAAGAATTTTACAACAGCTGTAAAGCTGTTTTTTCTGCTGAACGCAATCAATGTGCTTTAAAAAGTAAAATGGGATTTTTAATAAAAAATAAAGAATATTTAGAAATAAAAAACATAAAAATATAAAAATAAAATAAATATTCTCTAATTGATTAATCGATATAGGATATTGTATTACACAATTGCATTTCTGATTAAAAATAGCAAAATAAATATTCATTTTTTGTGACTTTAAAGTAAGTAATATTCAAGTCCAAATCTTCACACATAATAGTCTATAATAATATTCATTTTTAAGAGTTTTGCTTTTATTTGACTTCTTTCTTAAAAGTATATAGAATAAACGCTGAATGTGCAATTTTTTGAAACTTCTATATTTTAAATTAATTAAATTAAAATTTTGAATTAATTAACTTTTGTTATGATTATAATTATAATATAATTATGAATTAATTCTTAATTATGAATTAATAACTGATTCTAAATTTATTATTAATATTTTAGAGAGAGAGAGAGAGAGAGGGGGGGGGGAGAGAGAGAGAGAGAGAGAGAGAGAGAGAGAATTTAGATATTTTTGAAAATTTAAATTTTTAAAAATTAGAATTTTATTCTGCATCCGAGCATTATATATTCATTTTATTTTCGAGAAACTGTAAAAAATAAAGCTCTACAGATATTCATGAAAATAACACAAACAATCCTCATCTTTGATCTAACGTACAGATTCTTCATTCTAGATTTGTTTTTATCTAAGTCCGCGCGATATTCATATAAGTCTTTATATTTAAAATTATCTTAAGTATTGTCTTATAAGATATAAATCAATAACAAAGTTAGCGTTTTAAGATATCACTTAAGCAATCTTAAAATAAGAACAAGTTAGAAATACCGAACTAGAAACCAATCATATTAAAGAATTGAGCGCTTATTGAATGATAGCGCATTTAATTAAGTAAAATTAAGTAAAAAATTACGGTCGAAAAGAGAAGACTGCTCAATATAACTCAATTCTCTGTATTTATTCAGATAAAAGGAATGTTAATCTTGTTAATCTCTAAAGCTCTAGCAAAAAATATAAGTATACCTTGAGAATCACGTCGCTGCAACTGATGATGACTGTCCGAGGCAGTGACGTCGCCAGTCATCGGTGCAGTGGAACCCACGGAACCTAAACTTCCTATACTAGCCATAGAGCCCATACTTCCGTGGGATCCCAAGGGTGCGGTCGGAGGTGCAGTTCGATCTTCTACCGGACTACCCACCTGGCTAGAACCCGACATCGAACCCCGCGAGGCCGTTTTCGTCAACATGCTCGGAGGTCGACAGTAAACCTGTAGATTGTATATTTTTAATTGATAGATCGATTCCGATTACTTAATTGCTCACGCACCTGCATCTTTGCGGTGACCAATTCAGCGATATGACGTCGATCCTCTTCCTGAGAGTCACCCATTAAGGATAACGCGCTATCGTTGACCTCGATAATATGCTCCCGACCGTCCTTACCCACCAGCAATTCAATCGCGCAAATATCTAATCCTCCGAATAATTGTGCCACATGATCGACCCATGTGCGATGTCGTTCACTTACAGAAAGCTGTTCTAGCATAGCCGATCCGGTGTTCGATTTCCAGTTGCCGCTTATGCTTTTTCGCCTATAAAAAGGCATATGTATATTATAAAGAATAATTGCTATAATTTTTTTATTTAATGTATTAAACAATGCAGTTAAATTATATATATTTGTAATTGTATATTATATTGTATATATTTGTAATTATATATTATTATTAGTTAAAATTGATTGAAAAATTTAATTTTAAAAATTCGGAAGAAATGTGTGGTGTGTACTATTTAAAAAAAACTTTTTAATGAGTTTGAAATATTTTTTATGATTATTAACATTCTTTCTTTTTTGATTATTAACATTTTTTATGATTATTAACATTTCTTTTAATTTTTGAAATTCAAAATGTTATGCTTTTTAGAACTATAAATTTTTTCACCTATAAAACACATATACATTATAAAGAATAATCATTAAAATAACTAACTATATTCTTTTTGACTATTATAACTAATTAAACTTGATAGAAAAAAATTTAATTCCAAGAAAATTCGATAAAATATACTCAATTTCTCTATAAACTCTTTTAAGAGTTTTAAAATATTTTTTATGATTATTTAAATTCTCTTAAATGTTTAATTGAAATTAAAAATATTATGTATTTTTTACAGTACTTTTGCGACTTACATGAAAGCTTTGTAATTGTTCCCAATTTTCTGTACGTGCACGTCGTACTTGGTATCGATATAGGGTTCCGCCGTGCAATAAGCGTTCGCCATAGCTGCCAACGAAGCAAGATCTAGAAATTCCTGATTTGTTTCCGCACGGGCCTTGCCGGTTCCGCCGTGGGCGTGGCCCAATTTTACTACGACAGGATATCGAGATGCGCTCACCTGCAATCAGAATAGATAATTGCTCCATGAGTCGTTAGGGAATAATTAGTGTGTCAGTATTCTATCAATGATTATCTCCTTCGTAATTGCCACAGTCCGATTAGTAATTTCTGACCAACATAATGTATGTTTCTCCAATTCGCTGTATGCATTAAAACACGATCTCAATTGTTGTCTGAAAATATTGTTTACTATACATTTTGCATTTGTAATGAGGATTGCAATGTTTTAATGTGTGAGAAATTATGTAGACAGATATAAATCTTTAGAAAAACATATTTTTGAATACGTTTATATTTTATACATATTGTTTTAGTGCATTGCAATGTAATTTTTAATGTTTAAAAAGATTTTATTTAATGTTACTTGATAGACATAAATAAAATAATATTAACTGAGAAATGGATCGAAGTGATGATACAATTTGTACAACAAATATTGTGAGAATCAAATGTTATGAACAAAATTCTACAGTTTAAATAATATTTTTGCAGCATTTGCCGATAATGCAATATTCCTCCATTTAGAATGATGGCAGAGTAATTTACTTTCATAAATTATTTGCCATAAAATATTTAAAATTACATTATCATTACAGTTTATGATATTATTTGACGTAAGTTTAACATACTTACGCAAAAATGAAATTTTTTTTTAATTTAATTCTTTTTTCATTGTAATGTAAATACAGTAATCGTGAATTTTATTTTATTTCACATTAATCGTATCATATAAAGAAGATACAAAGCGAAAGAGACATGTTTCTTAAGTTCCCGTTAGCATAGATAACCATGGAATTTCTTGTGATAGAAGAAGGACATAAATGCGAGAACTTAAGTACACGGGTTGCTTGTTGAATTGAATTCGTATGAGGTTTATTAAATTCTTCGTTTTTTTCCTATTAATCTATCTTAAGTATTTCCCATTACTTTACATATCTAATTAATTATCATTTCCTCCATTGCCAATTGTATTACTATCACTTATAAAACATCAAGTATAAAGATAATTAAA